GATGACCTGCATTCAAAGACCGTAAATAAATACTGTGATTCAGATTTAAATATCTATTGCTATGTGTAACCCAGGGTGGAAAAACTGCTCTTAGTCCCGCTTTACTACCCCATTGGTTAGAGTGACAGTCAGTCACACAATGCATGCAGCCAATTGACACACCTGATGTAATTATTTAGGCTTGCTCCAGCTTTCCCCAGTCAGGTGTGAGGGGGAGAGCTGGAGACAAAGGAGCTACAGGTTGGTGTTCTCAAACAATCAGTTATCTTTTTGTTTGTAATGCACTTTTTAACCTTACAACATAAAAATCATGTAGATCCAAAAAATCCAGTGAGTTTGGAGCCTTGAAGCTGCCATGCTCCCAACTATTATTGAAATTGGTGAGTAGTGAGCACAATGTTGTTTTGTTGTTTTAGCATGTTGGTTGGTAGCTAATGCTAATTGTGATCATCAATTGTTGTAATCTAACTTCTTTAAGATAATGAGATAAATGTTTCTTCATTTGGTCTGACAGATTGGATATATTGCATTTATTTCTGTGTGAAACTGAAAACTCTAGTTAACTAGCCGGCTGGAAATTTACTGGTCCTGTTTATTTTAATACAGGCCAGGTGATCCCTTTTTAGGGTAAAAGATGGCGAGCTTCTGAAAACTGGCTGGAGCCAGGAGAGCCCCAAGAATCACTTCATCCTGGTCTGGTCTGTATCAATTCCCCCTCCATCTCACCACTCAGGCACACACTCCATTATTCATCTTTTCATCCGAAAGAACTTGCGCTGGGACATTTTCAACTTAAATATCTGGATAATTCAACCATGGACTTCTGAATGTGTGTCGGTCAGGTTTTGGACTGACCAGCGGGGAAGTCAAGACCAGTTGTGCACAAACCAATGAAGGACGGCCGCAGTACTGTGTATATTTTTTTGTTTGTTTTTTATTTTTGGTCCTATGTATGTTTGTCTTGCATTGTTCACTTTAATTTTGTCTAATACATGGTATTGAAAGCAGTTCTTTTTTATTGATTACTGACAACAGCTCCAGTAGACGAATTCTAGTCTT